CCCCCCCCGAATATTTTCAAACTCAAACAAATTGTGCAAGTAAAAAATCATCTCCCGAAATTACAATTACATAAACTGAAATTTTTTATTTTTTTGGTGGTTTATAATTATGAAGGATTGTAAAAAGATAAAAAAGGAAATATGAATAAGTTAAGATTAAAATCTGAATGGGAATGTTTCGGTCCATCAAGTCGCATACATTCCTGTTCAGTGCTGCAACTGGATAAATATCATATCCGTATTAATACCAAAAAAAAAGCCCTACTGGATCTCATCGGGGAGTGATGGTGCTGACAGGAAACGCTTGCGATCATCACATTCAACAATCAGTAAAGCAATATTTTCTAGCTGTAACAGAAGTGCTCGCAGCTTCTTCTGTGATGCACTGCTTTTCATCGAAAGCTTATCATCATCCGTTGTATCGTTCGACAGATCGATTAACTACAAAAAAAAAATTAATTGAATTATTTTGTTTATTAAAATTGATTAAGAATTGATAAATTAATAAAAAAAGATTAAGAAATGATAAATTCTGAATTATTTTTTGAAAAAAATAAAAGAAAAAAACCAACATGTCTTGGATAATTGACAGTGGAAAGCGTTGGTTTTCCCAATGTACCAACAAAAGTTGGTGGAACATAATGATGTGCATTTGCAGTGCTTATTGCGTAATCGCATTCATCCCCCTCTTCGCCGGTTGCAGGTTTTAAGCCTTTTTTCCGCCGTTCCAAAGCTATTTGCTTCTGCCGCCAAACCTAAAAATTTTGAAAAAAAAATTTTATAAAACAGTAATCCTGGAACGCAGAGTACAAAAACATATTAAATAATATTCTAGGAATCACTACGATTATCAAGATATTATTGGTTTAATAACCCAAACTTGAGATAACTGAATGTTTTGGAAATTTTTGAAAAATTTAAACTATGAAAGTTTGTTTGGCACTGTAGGCCAGCCGATGAAAGGGACACAGTTGAATATTGTCAGTGGTGGGAAAGGTTTTGATTTCTGTGGCCGAAAACAAGCAAAAAACCAGGACTGAAAAAGCATGCTCATCAACTAACAATATGGTACTGATCAAATCAACTGAAAAAGTCGCCAGCTGTATGGCTGAAGGATAAGGACGGATTAACAACAATTTCAGGTATTCCAAATTTCTTCTTTGTCAAGATACCCCCAAATATCCTCCTTCATCATATCATTCTTCCGATTTGAATATTTTATGGTTATGAAAAAGGTTGTAATAAAAAGCAATAATTAAAAGTAAAAATAAAAACTGAATTGGAATATTTCGGGTCCATTTTAAGTCGCATACATTCTCATTCAGTGCTGCAAATGGACCTTGTCAGTGTGATGGTTGTAGCAGAAGTGTGAAAAAAATCATGCAATATTGATGAGTTACAGAGAGAAGTGAAAAATAATGAAAATAATTTGAAGTTTCGAATTTAAATATATCTTATCCTCTTTTATGTTATCATATAGCAGAAAAAGAAAAAAATAAATAGCAGTGCGCACCAGATTAGCCGGTGCGATCATACGTTTTGTGCAATTCAGCCCATCAAACGATTGCCTTTTAATGATTTTCACTGCCTTGTACCTTGTCTATGCAAAAATAGTTCAAACATTGGAAAACAGTTAAAAATTTCACGCACCAGCGTATGAAAGCTAAATAGCAAAATATCAAAAATTGGAAAATAGTTAAAAATTTCACGCACCAGCGCATGAAAGCTGAATTCGAAACCTTGAAGGGCGAATATCTTCCCGTGATTCCCGAATTAATAGTTCACCCGCCAAAATTTTCACGAGGCTGTAGGTGATACTCAAGAGCGCGGGAACGCTGAATTTGAATAGGCAAGGTCGAGCGTGGGCAAGGGGTCATTACCCTAAAATTTCAGCTTCCGAGACCTCGTGGTCCCCGAGATAATAATTTGCCTGTAAAAAACTTTCACGGGGCCGTACGTGTTACCCGCGGGTACGAGAAGACTGAATTTAAATTTGCGCGTCACCCGCTGGCGGGGAATACTCTACCAAAATTTCAGCCGCCTAGCTTTTGTGGTTTCCGAGTTGGAAGTGCGGGACAAAATGTGACACACACACACACATAACCACGTGACAATATGGGTTTTGTAATGCTGTTACACAGCATAAAACGCATAAAAACGAACGGTAAAATAGAAATCATCTTCATATGGGTTGCCACATCCCTGGCATTGCAACAGTTGGATTTTGATAAGCCATTCGCGTTCTTTCTTCGAAACAAAACCAGCAAATGGTGAAAGCGCGAAATCGGATATCGTTTTGCTGGATGGAAGCCCTGAACGTCTGCTCGTTCGATCACGATTAGAACAACGACTCGCTCCATGTGATGGTGGACGCATCGGTGCAGTAGGCATCTCAAAATTCGGGCGATACGGCTGTTGCAGTTGCTGCTGCTGATATGGCACAAAATGCATTGGTGGTAATGGAGGTCTTTCAACTCTGAAAACGTAAGAAAAAGTGGAATGTAACACAACTAATTCAAACTTAAACTTAAGCCATATCAATTATAGTTACCACAATCGTCGCACTGACAAGGTCCAATTCTGGTAATGGTAAGAAATGTATACGACTTAATAGATCGAATCATCTTTTATTATTATAACTTTATTTAAGTGATTTTACAACTTCTATTAATTTCTTTATTCTTATTTCTTAATTTTCTTTTTTCTATTCTATTTCCTGAAAAAATAGGAATACCTGAATCAGTGATAAACATTTATCCAAGCAAAAATGGAATAAATATTTTAGCATTTTCTGACACTCAGTAACAGCAACACATGTAATGAAAACATCAAATTCATCTAGATAGTCAAAGTCAGGGTCTCCTGCTCCTGATTTCATCGGGAGATTATCAAATTGGGTGCAGCTATGCTCGGCTTTTCGAACGAAAAATCGAAGCCCTGAGCCAATATCTACCTCAGTGTCGAAACATTAATGGTTATCGGCACAGCAAAAAACATTTCTGCCCATCGAAATTTCTACCCTTCGTCACAGAATTGATGCCCTGCATATCGGCTAAATATATATTAATCTATTTTAACATGGGATTTCTTTTTCTGAATTTTCAGAGACAAAACTCGGCTTTTTGAACTAAAGATACTCGACTTTTGGCTTGAGAGGAAAAAAAAGGCAACAAACCTTGAAGTGGGGCACTGAGGCATGAGGCGAAACGGTGGAGGCATTGCGTGCGAAGGAGGCATTTGTAGTTGTGGTGGAATTCCAAGCATCGCTCCACGCATCTGCGGCGCTATGGTTCGAAAACCAGGCGGTAGTTCCGATGGCTGACCCAGTACAGGACCTGGAAAAGCAAGGATAAGCAGAATGTAGCAACCAGGTTGACTCTGGAATAAATTACTGACACCAAAACTGCTCCGTGTGCAGCCTTCTGAAATCACAGATCAAAATGCACCAACGATAACGTTATAGCCGTGCTAAAAAATCCTCTCTTGAATAGCTTCTGCGTGGCTGCTAGTTTGTGCCCGGTGTCTTCACCCCTTCCCCCCCCCCCCCCCCCCCCCCC